ATTGTAACCTCCCTTTTTATTGAAAGGAATGCTAAATTATTTATTTTATAATTTCACTCATCATGCATAGAAATGATTGGTCCGTTGCACTGCAATTTGAAAATTGCTAGAGCAATCCCAACTTCAATATATTTATATGATCCATTTGGTACAGCTTTTACTTTTGTTTCTACATCTTGTAAGTAAATAAAAATAAAATACAGTTCATTAGGTCATCTTCGTTAAAATCTTTTCTAGCCACACAAAACATTTTTAAAAAATTATCAATCAAATTGATAATTTGACGGATTGAACTACATTAAGCAAAATTGTCACATGACATGTATTGTTAATACCATAATATTGTTGAATGTATTGTTAAAAGCGTGTCACGTAGATATAGCCCCTGTTTGTGTCCCATTATCTCCCCAAAAGAATGAAATTTTTAACCGTTAAAGTCAAAGAAGTGGGTCCCACTGTCTCACAAAAAAGTCCAAAATTGCGACTCTTTTACTGTTTGAACGGTAGAAAATTTCATTTTCGTGAGAAACAAACAAGGCCATAATTGTTTTAGAATTAGCATGGAAACTAATCTAGAATAGGTTAAGATTTGAAAGTGAGTTCAACATCCAATTCTAACATTTGTTAATGAGTTCTAAATATTCAACTCTTCTACATATAATTAAATTGAATTTCGAACTAGTTCAGAGTTTTCCAATTGAACTGAATAATCATATCCTGTAAACATAGCACCGGTAGATACATGCATATATAGGTTATTATGTCACTCGATTGGAGATGTGCATCGCACCACTAACAAGTAATTACACAAGAAGTTACACTTATCCTAGTTTCTTTGACAAAATGATTGTGTAATTTTCTTTAAATCTTACTACATGTACATCAAAATTTGCATAATGGATTGCATAATGTCACAGACACTCTACCATTTTGTCAGTTTAAAACGCAATCAAATTTTCCATCTAATCTTTTCTCACCACATTATATTATGTAATTCTAATATATGTAAAACATACATGTTATAGCAAAATCCTTGTTTTTTACTTAATTGGAAGAGTTTGTGTTCATATGTAATGATTAGCGCGACTTAAGAGATAAAATCATAAAAAAGCAGCCCCCTAATTGTTTGCATGCAGTGCCATTTTAACAAATCCAAAGCATGCACAACGCTAAATCCAAAGCATTCAACACTATCCAATTCAAAACCAAAGCCACATTTTTAACAAAGAAAGAACCCATATTTATAAAGGTTTTTTTATTGATTTTTTTCTTTTTTAAAGATGCATTGCTGTTCAACTTTTATTGTTCAATACGCTGTCTACCCAATTAATTATCGACACATCATTTAGTAAGAGATAAAGCATTTATTAATCATAAATTGGATAGCAAAAATTGGACAACAGATCTCAACTCCTTCTTGTGTTACTTTTTTCTCATGTTTAAACACAAAAGGCTATTAATCGCTAGCTCAAAAGTAACTCGACATTTTTTTCATCTCAAAATTCATCTTATAAACGCTTAACCTCATCGTTGAAGATTTTTCAATTAGAAACTTCGAGTTCCACCGACATACACCCTATAGTTTTTCTCTATTCGAGATCAGATATTTTCTTCGTTCCACCATGTTCGTATGGCACTTAATTGAAAGAGAGATAAACAAAATCAAATTAGACTCGTAAAACTAGTTAATTATTACTATATTTTCAAAATTTCAAGTTCCAACTAATTTTAATTCTGGTCCATATCCGTAGAAAACACACACTAATCAATAATGAAAATTATGTATATATAAATGCATCGAAGTTGGACGTGATTTATCCTTAAGACGGCGCACGATCTACTGTGCAGTAAATCTCCATAATTACATTCACATTTATGCGTTTGTGCAAACACATATATACGTACGTATTTATATAGACGTAAGTAGTCATTCCTGGACTTCAGAAAACCACAAAACAGCCACCCCACTCCCAACCCCAGTTTCTGTGTAAAAGATGGGAACTGAGTCTATGACTGGATGGTCAAATTATGAAGTAATGAACACAGAAGAATACCAAGATGTTTTCTCCTTTCCAAACTCAGATTTCAGGTTTATCCTAATATTTCACTGATTTCACATTCTTGCACTAATACACATTACATGTATCTAACGTTGTTTTGTTGTGTGTGTTTTTGTTATTGTGAAAAATCAGTAGTTTTTCTGCTAATTTGGAGTTTCAGCATGATCAATTGCCCATTCAAGAAACTACTTTTGATGCCGTGCCTTTAATGGAAATGTTTCTGCATAATGATCCTTTATACTCAAATTTGCATCTTGAACCATACCAGAACCTAATTCCAGGTGATGATCATAATCAATTGTTCATTTAATCAAGATTTATATACTGACAGGATTTCGTCAAATTTATGCAGAGAATTTCTTCTGCGATTATGGAAGTGCATTGGGAAGGTTTGAAACTGGGAATCAACAGTTACTATTGGAGAATACTAATAAAGATATAACTGTAGAGAAGCCTGTGCAAGAGGTGAAGAGAGTTAAAAGGCATAGAGAAGTAAAAACCTATACAAGCAATTGCAAAATATTATCGAGGGAAACAATTTCTCAGTACTTTTACATGCCAATTACACAAGCAGCAAGGGAACTTAATGTGGGATTAACCCTTTTGAAGAAAAGGTGTAGAGAATTAGGAATTAGAAGGTGGCCACACAGGAAGTTGATGAGTCTACAAACCCTAATCAAGAATGTCCATGTATGTATATACGTATAATGATATACTGTTTAGTGCTGTCGAGTCTACGAAACCGAACATATTACGAATGTTTTAAGTTTCTTGCTTTACGGGTTTTTACAGGAGCTGGGGAAGGAGGAAGGAGAAGGGAAGTTGAGAGATGCGATACAGATTTTGGAACAAGAGATGAAGTTGATGGAAGAGGTTCCCGATTTGCAATTGGAAGACAAAACTAAGAGATTGAGGCAAGCATGTTTTAAGGTAAACTACAAGAAGAGAAAGCTCATGGCTGGAATGCCATCAATGATGTCGGAATCAAAATCTGCAGGCTCTAGTTGTTATAATCCAGCAGCAAGTGTTGAAATGAATGCTTTAGATTGTGGTGGATCTCGGGATGAAGAAGAATATGATGACGATGATGAAGAGATGAAATCTCTCCTGTCTTACTGTTTTTCTTCCAGTAGTGACACAATCTTTTGAGTCTTGTCGAAGTCAAAGTCGAGTGTGGGTGGGGTCAAAGCCGAAGAAGCAATGTCATTTCAAAATCGTTGAACTAACTTCATTTGTGAAGTTAATAACTTTCTTGATTTCCTTTCATTTATCTTTTTTCTTTGTCCATGTGTTCTGAATCAAACCTAAATTACTTTGTGTATATATGATTTGGGTTTGATTAATGGCTTAACTTTCCAAATTACCTATCACGTTAAGTTTTTAAATGAGGTAGTTTGTAACAATCGGAGAGTATTAAAAATGTTTAAAATTGTGCGTGCACCAGATCTTTGATGAGAACGTATTCAACACTAATTCGAATAAGTAAATATATCCTTGTTTTTAACCTTTTTATATTAGACGGTTCAACATGAATATTGAATAGTCTCAAAGAAGGAAACTGTATAATCTTGTTAAAGTACTTTGCCTGTGGACAACATTGGTGTTTGGGGTCTTTTTCTGGCTGGGGTTCTGGTAATATTGAAGGGCAGTCGGTGAAATTGGGTTTTGTAGACTACTGGTGGAGTATTATTTAAATTTTAGGGTGTGCTCTTATACTCTCTTTCCTTATTCGGGCTTGGAAGCCATTCCTTGGGTCACACTTCGAGCTAACGGGATCCCCCCATTCTTCTTTGAGCCTTTGTCCTTTATTTTATGGCTGTTGCTTGCTTGATGTGTGGCTATTGATTTTAGTCGATCAAATATGGTGAAGGTGTTGATATCGGCGTCCGTGTGGTTGAAATCCCATGCATAAGGTGAGCATGTAATGTCTAGAATTAGGAGTGACGGAGACTGCATCTCCGTCATCATAATCGTCCATTCACGAACCTTCAAGCTTTTTAGCTCATTCCACGTGGACTATCTATTGTATTTTATATTTCTGAGATACCGTGTGTTGTCACCGTTGCTATTGAAAATGAACTTGAAACCAAAATTTTTTGTGTTGATAAAAAAAATTTTGTTTTTGATCAAAAGAAATTGTGGATATTTTCTTGAAAATTAACTTGGTGTTCATTGTCTTGAAAAATATGATTACTATTACTTTTGAACTTAGAATTTTTAATGAAAAATGAGATTTTCCCATTTGACAACAAAAAAGGAAAAGTGTTATTGTTCAACAAAATATTTCAAAAGCTATTACTCACGATTGTGCTGATTCTATGATCGCTGATCAGAAAACTGAAGTAGATGAACCTGTTTATATTTCTATTATCTTGCATCTGTCTCACCAAATGCTTAGAAAAGTAGAAAAAATTAGATATTGCTAAGTTCTGGTGGGAGAAAATAGAAATTAGAAGAACTCTGTTGTGAAACAAACAATCGGATTAAAATGTTGAAGTTATATGACAAATAATAAAAAAGTATATGATCAAACAAAAGAATAATAAAGACAAGAATATGACAGATGAATTAAGAGATTTTATTGACTCAAAAATAATTGAGAAGAGAGACAAATTACAATAGAACCTATAATTTTAGTAATTTATTTTCTCACACATTTAAAATTGTATAGAAGAGTCTAATATTTATATGGAACATGTGGTAGATGTCCAAACCCTTCTAGTAGAGTTGTTGATGAAGTATGATACCAAAAAATCGAGTCCAAAACAAATTACAACTCTCAATTGGCTTCCAAGATAAAATTTCAACTTGACATAGGACTCCAGTAGAATTTCAAATTGAATTCTTCTTAATGTACACTTCAATTAGAATTCTTTAATTACTTCAATAAGGAATTTGAGCCACACCCAAATTTTAACAATCTCCACCTCGACACGAATTCTACCAAAAAATGAACTGACTTCTTCAACAATAACAAAAAAATTAATTTCTATAATAAAACACAATACTCATCCTCTTCCAATGAATCCAAACACTACTCTACAGAATTATCTCAAATTCCAAAAAAAAAAAAATGATTTTAAATTAATCAAAATAGACTGTAACACACCCCAAAGCAAAATCAAACCCAAATATTTTTAAAGAATGCCTCTTGTTAGATTGTACACTTTCTACTTCACTTAAAGCGTGCTCAACAAAATCAGCATCCACATTCCCTTTTCCATTGGGTCCGTCTCTAACAATTGAATACAATGGCACCACAGGTGATAGTGGCAAAGCCTGAACTTCACTGAACTGTATTCTTCAAATCCGACCATTTATAAACTCCAAAAAGTATTGTACCAATCTGAATGTCCACACGGTCATGAACTTGTCCTGCTTGACTCTTTTAAATTCTGCACGACTCTGCTCCATTTATGAGCTCCTAAAAGTATTATACCAAACTGAATGTCCACCATGGTCCCGAACTTGTGCTGATTGACTCTTCTAAATTCTGCAGACTCTACAATACGTATAATTGAGACATTTTTTGTCCCTCCAATACAACATAGGCACCCTTACAAACCTTCAAAATCTACATCCACCAAAGAACTCGTATCCTTTTGAATCAAGGATAGATTACGAGATTATATTTTACTTCAAATCTGAAACATGTCGAACTTGATCAAGTGTTCTAATTGTCCAATCCAAAAGCATCAATCTGACTGTACTAATTCCAGCAACCCGACAAGATACATTGTTTTCCATAATCACGACACCTTTGGAAATAGTTTCATATATAGCAAATAAGTCATTATTAGGACACATATGAAACACACATGCTGAATCAAGAATTCATTCATCTTCCGGTTTAGACTCAATATCAGAAATAGCTAAGAGATCTCCATCACTTACAACGTTCTCCGAGAGATCTGCTTCGCCTGAAGTATATGAATATCTACTTGCAGCCATCCTTTCTTTATTCTACAATTTATAACAATCCTTCTTTAGTTCATTTTCTACTTGCAGTAGTTACAAATTTGATTATTGAATTTATATTTCAATCTGCCCCTTCTAGAACCACCATGAGCAACCAAGTCTTCTCCATCTCTGGCCTCAAAAAACGGATGCTTCATCTTCTCTTTTGAATATAAAGCATCATACACTTCCTATATGGTGAGAGTATCACGACTATACAAAATCGTGTCTCTAAATGAGGAAACGAAACGGGCAACAAACATAATAGGATCAAGACTAAATCTTCTTCATCATACTCTACTTCCAAAGTTTCCAAATCAGCGACGATCTCCTTAAATACAGTCAGGTGATCTTCCAATAATCCTCCTTCTACCATTCGATGAGAGTATAAACCTTGCTTGAGGTTCAACTTGCTTGTCAGACTTTTAGTTATGCACAATTGCTCCTACCTCAACCATAAAGAAGCTGCCGAATTCTCCTTCAAAACGTCATTATGAATAGTATTTGATAGATGAAGATGAAAGTGAGAAACTGTCTTCTTATCCTTCCGTAATTTCTCCTCCTAGGTCAAAGTTACGGGCATCCTGTCAATTCCCAACAACGCATCATCCAAATCCAGTTATATGAGTACTGCACGTATCTTAACCTGTCATAGTAAAAATCTTGTATTCTGATCCAAAAGCGGAATGTCATATTTCATAGAAGCTATCACGAATAAAAAACCTCGAACAAATCAAACATTGCGCTCTTGTGGAGCTGCTGAACTTGGCATGCTCTGATACCAATTGTTGTGAAACAAATCACCGGATTAAGATGTTGAAGTTATATGATAAATAATACTAAAGTATATGATCAAGTAAAAGAATAATAAAGATAAAAATATGACATAGGAATTAAGAGATTTTATTGATTCAAGAATAATGAAGAAGAGAAAAAAATTATAATAGATCCTATAATTCTAGTAATCTATTTTCTCACATCTTTAAAATTATATAGAAGAACCTAGTATTTATAGAGAACACGTATGGGATGTCCTAACCCTCATAGTAGTGTTGTTGATGAAGTAGGATACCAAAATAATCGAGTCCAAAACAAATAACAACTTCCAATGGGCTTCCAAAATAAGATTTCAACTGGACATAGGACTCCAATAGCATTTCAGATCACACCCAAATTCTAACAAACTCTATTTCGTCAAATCTTCTATCCCTCTAAAGAATTATATGATAATTTAGATGCCTTTATAAATTGGTACAAGACATCACAAACACTAGTGAGAAGGTATCTGAAGAGAATAAAGCAGTAATACTCCTCAATACCATCCCCGGGGCTTATAGAAATGTCAAAAGTGTCATTAAATATGACACGGACTTTCTAACCCCTGACATTGTGATTAATTCCTTAAGGGGTAAAGATTTAAAACTGATATCTAAAAAGCATGAGAGTAATTCTAAGAGTTTGTTTGTTATGGGTATATCTTAGAAAAGGCAAAATGGAAATCTTGAAAGTCAAAATAACCATGCAAACAACAATAAAAAGAAGAATAAGGGAAGGTTTAGGTCAAAGTCTAGAGCAAAAAACAAGTCGTGGAAATACTGGTTATCTTATAAAAGATTGTTATAAAAAGAAAATAAACTAAAAGAGAAAGCCGTAGATTAAGGGAATGTGGTAGAACCTCTAGAGTCTAACAAAGTTAATGTATGTGTTGTCACAGAGCATCATTCTGATCTAACACTAGAAATTTTGCAAATAACAATGATCAGCGTTAAACAATTCAAAGAGAAAAAGAAAAAGAGGCTAGGGTTTTATTGATTCTGCATAATGTAATTGAATGAATAAAACCTAGATACAAAGAGACTATATATAGTCTAAAATAAAGAAAACTTAAAAGACTATTCTACCCTTAATAAATAATGTTAACAAAATAATCATATATTTCTTAACATCTCCCCTCAAACTCACGATGCAGCAGCTACAAGTATCGAGAGTTTGCCAACTAGAAAACGAAAACGAGAAATAGAATGCGCCTTGGTAAAGAAATCTGCAAGCTGCAAAGAAGAAGAAACAAATGGCAAAGTAATTGTGCCATGCTTGAGATGATGACGAGTAAGGTGACAATCGATCTCAATGTGCTTAGTTCGTTCATGAAAAACCGAGTTGTGAGCAATCTGAATGGAACTCTGATTATCACA